ACTCGGATAACTCTCGAGGGGAAGGACGGCGGTGTGGGGGGGGGCAGGGAGGGGGTGAAGGGGAGGGGTGCATGAATGAATTCACCTTAAAAATCAATGGGCACAGGAGGACAAGCCGTGAAGCAGTTCTCAGTTTGGCGATATGCTTCTGCCCTTCCCCCTTCAGTTTGCACGCAGCACTGCTTTTAAACCTCAGTTAAAAATGAGGCTTCGTGACAACGAATCGTTTTACGACACAGCGTCCTCGTACGCCATTGCGTCTCAGAACCGCTTCGCATCTCATCTCAAAGCATCTGAAAGGGCACCCCCAGTAGCAGCTGTCCTTGTGTGCACAATGTGTGGCCATGATGGCGAGATGTTAACTACCTCGCCTGGTATACAGGACGTCGTGAGTTCGATCCCGACCCTGGCGACTGCTGTATATTTGGAGTTTGCATGTTCTGCCCGTGGCCGCGCGGATTTTTTTCTCCGGGACCTCCGGTTTTTCCCTCCACATTTAGACTCAACACGCGTTTAGAGTATTTGGCTGCTATACATTTCCACGTGATAAGCAGCTTCGTCAGGCTATCGTTTGTGATGGCCAGTTCGCTTCTGAAAGAGAGCTATGCAGCTCAGTGGGCCTTACCTGGTAAAATAAAAACTGTTTATAGTTACAGTACGTTTGTATTCACGTTGAACTTCTTTCGCACCGTATCTAGCCAGCTGTGCCAATTGGAGGTGACTCAGCACTTGACCTGCAAAATGGCATTTGTCTGGCAGGAGAAATTTTGCGGGTAATTTTCTAATTGTAGTCTCAAAGGTCTCTTAACCTGGCCACATTAAAGGAAGTTAATGAATGAATGATGACACCAGTGATGGTAATGGACTCAGTCGACCCCAAGCCAGGATTTGAACTCGTTACCTACTCCTGATTGAACTTTTTTTAAATGTTAAAAACAAAATAGATAATGCAGACAACATGTCCCCGCCATGTTTGTCCCTCCGTATAAAACATAAAGTTATTTTTTTACACAACCCATCGGTCGCGTGGTCTTCTGGAAGTGCATCATTTGAGAAGCATTAATTTAAGTGAACGCAAACTCTGGACCCGTTAAGCCATGCAGCGTCTCGTCAGCAGAGTCAAGCTCTCTTATATCAATGCTCGTGAACTGCCAGATATTACCCTCCCTTTAAGTTATGGATCCTAATTATTATTATTTTGAATTTTCTCATGTTACTTATACAACTCAAAACCCTTCACTTGGACCAGCCTAACGCCAGGGCCCCAGCCTCTCTTATTATCTCGGCTAACCCGAACCTAACCTCCGTCAATTTGCATTCTACCATTGCTCTAGGCGTCTAGGGGGTGACGTCAAGTTTCCTTTTTAAAGGGAGCCTCTCTTATTAGCCACTGCAACACTCTCCTAGAAGGAAGTAAATATATAAGGCGACGTTTCCAATCAACAGCTCCTGAGAAATCACGTCTGCTTTTGACTGTCTTTTTTCATGATCTTACACTGCATGACGCTCTGTTTAATAACGCTCGCTTTGCGAGTCATAGAAGCTTTATGCGTGATTGCCTGAAACAAGATGTGAATTATAATTTTATTTCAGGCTTCAGACCAATCTCTCTGCCATGAAGCGTGTATATATCTTACGCATATCATTTACTTTCGTTTCAGGATAGTGTTACTGTTGGCGGACGGGCTTGAGTTTGAGTTATTTGTGCTTTATGCGCCACTAGCAACGCGGTATCACAGAAGATGTTTAATTGGCCACTTGCTTCAGGAGACCCAGCTCAACCAGGGCGTGCATTGAAAGCCCCCTCTGTTAGCCGTGCATTGTAGAAAGCTCTTCAGCACCCGGGCGCCCATAATTCACTCTCGCTCCGCCTTTCATTCCAAGTGAATTCACGATACCCGAACTTCCTGCAGCACAAAAGTCGACACGCCTGCCAACAGAAATTCCAGTGGGGAAATGTTGTTGACCTACTGGCGAATAAAATCTTGAACATCCATACTTCACCACACTGATGTGAGGACTCGAGGTTTGTTCGTCAGGTTCATCACGCAGCAGTGCTAACCAATGCACCACCGCTTCAACTCTTTCGTGCCTTAAAAGAGAGGTTATTTTGTTGGAAGTGGTAATTACAAGTGCTTCGTTGCAACAAGCAGAGCTGGGATCGCCGCATACACCTCGCCTTGGTCCTTTTTTTAATTAGGATTTTAGAAACATATTAGGGTTTTATAAATATAGAGTACAATAATATAGGATTATTATAGACGGTGTGTACTTTCTATGCTAGTGGTAGTGCCTTACGCAGATAATCCCGACTCCAACCCAGCCTTTGCAGCATTCAGGACAACATCGAGTTAGAAATTAACCTGGGTAATTTGATAAACGTTTAAGTGAACGTCGTTTAACAATGTGAATGTTGCCAAAGTTAATAGTATCGGATTGCAGTTTTTTTGCTGAATCAGGGCTACCTAAATTGCTTTCATTTTTTCCATTTATAGTTGGCAAAACAAATCTCACAATATTTTACTTCGGAACAGTTAATTCAGTCATCATACTGGCAGGACATTATTAATGCACTTTTAAAAATAATGAGAATATAAATGTTAGACACTGGTCTACCTGTATGCCAGAGGTTTTTTTTTTATTCGTTTCACGAGTGAGTTAAATATTTTAAATCATTACCGTATTCTTCTGATTATAGCATGCACTTTTTTTCCCTCTGTACTCTAAAGAGTTGTGATCGCGTCTTCATATCTAGGGTCTAACTAGGGTTGTATACGTGTATTGACTGACAGCGCAGACATTCGGCTGCGTCTTACTTTAGGTCAACAATTTCTGCTATAGTACGCACATCGTCCCATTGTTGCCGATAACGATGCTGATGCTACTGTGGTCGTGTGTATGTAATGAAAACACGTACATGTGGGGAGCGGTGGGGTCAAAAATCGTCCAAAATCGCGTGACGTCATTTACGGGCGGCCACTCAGAACCGGTCCGAGCTCACCCCTCGGTCTCACTCAGGCGCACACGACGGCACGGGGGAAGACAGGGCTGTATGTGCACGGTTTCTGGCCACAGAATCACCGTGGTTGCGTCCTCTTCAACTTAATAGGTGCTCGCAAACAAGAGCACTTGCCTCAAAAATCCCACGAGGTTCAATAAACAATTTGGTGATGCTGCATTGGCGGCGGCGTGCAAGCACAAGACAGCAAAACACTCGGGTAATCATCCGCATATACGATTAAAGCGGGAGCAGTCTTTTGTAAGTGGGTATGCACAGCGGTGAGCAAGCGCTGTGAGGAGAGGCTTTGTCAACTTTCGGGTTTATTGTCAAACTCCGCAGGAGACGAATTTCTTGGTTCACCAGCTATGCGGAAAGTAAGTGTTGATTGAATGATTAAACCCAATCAACATCCCCGACTCTAATTATTATTGGTATTCGTGACTCACGTTGACGTGTCGTTTCGTTGTTTTTGGGACGTTCGACAAAGCATACGCTGTAGGTTACACAAATCGCAGGGCTTAGCCGACTAACCTACTAAGCCCAGCTATTATCTGCTCACGTCATTGCTGGCAGGATATTTGGTCTACTCTTCCACTCTGGTCAGGCGTCTTGGTGAGCGTAGCCACACTTTAACCCACCGCGCGCGGCCTGCCTGCTGATCGACGGGCTACTATGGTGTTGTACAGAACTCGCTTCTGGGTTGTTGGTTTTTTTTATGTGTCCATTGACTTAACTTCCACGCGGGGTCTGGGGGGGAATTCGGAATTAGAACCAGCGAAGTCCACGGCATCATCTCTGCACACTCGACGAAAACTCTCTGTACCAGGGTAGTCGAGAACCAAAATAACAAGAAAATCATTTTTTTTGTTGGAATTCCGCGAGAAATGAAAACAAACTCAATGTTTCAAGAGACGCGGTAGTAATGCGTCGTGTGGTGAATACGAGACGGTGGTATGTCCTTAATAAATATCGCCACGAAGCAGTCCTTTAAGAGCCGCAGGTTTCCCACCGTACACAAATTAATTTGACGTTGCTGTGGAAGATGACGGGTAAAGGCCATGCACGGCACAGTTGTAAGCAAAAACGCCTTCCGTGTGCACATAGAGAAAGCCGATCAACATTTAGCGATCAGCAGCGGAGACAGCATTCCATCGAGACAGAAAGAGGAACCCCGCGGACAAGCTGATTGATTACATCATTCAGAACCAAGTGGGGTTTGGTCAGCACATGGCACGGCTGCTGTATGCAACCGTGCTCGTTGGAGGTGCTGAAAGGGATTGATAGACGATACGGTCAAGAATAATAACGGAATGGCAGCCCAAGGAATGGAACGCGTCTGAGCGCACGCAACGCCGAGGGAGATGGAGCAATGAATTCAGTTCGCTTGCAGGTGCTCATGGGCGTTTGAGGTGCTCGCTAATAGCACTTGCCCCCAAAAGTCTGTTAAGGCTATACGGGGGATCTTTGTCCTTTTTTTGTACATAGCAGGGTCGTGGAAAGGTGGCAGCGGCTTGAGGGGCTCTTCATCCAGCAGTGGATTGACTACGCCTGTTGCTGCTGCTGCTGAATTTCAGCAGTCTTTGTTTAAAATTCCTGACTATGCTGTTGGGTCCCTGAAGGTAGAGACCGTTCCAGAATGTTGCTCGCTTAAACTAATGCTGCTTTTGATCATAATGATAATATTGGTCTGGAAAGCCAATAGGCTGATGGTCTCGCCACAAACATTTGTTATTTATACGCGGACGCCGAGAACAAAAGGTGCTGCGCCTCTGTTTGCTTTTGTAGCTTATATAGTGAGTCAGTGCCTATAGCCGGTATCTCTTATCAGGTGACGCACACGGTGGGAGTAGGGCAATGGTGGTGGTAGTGGTGGGGAGGAGGAGAAGGGAGGGAGGGAGGGAGAGAGGGAAGGAGAGGAGGGAGAGAGGGGAGGAGGGAGTGAGAGAGAGAGAGAGGGGAGGGAGAGAGGGGAGGTGAGAGAGAGGGGAGGGAGAGGAGGGAGAGACACAAAGACTCCCCATCACAGGCGCGCACATTCGGACTTGGAGCTGCACGCGTGCGTCTCACTCCAGAGCCCGCACGGAGCGAGTGGGCGCACAACTCACGCTGGGTGTACAACCCCACAGAGAGAGAGAAAACAAGCAGTTGTATTAGATATACATCACTGTTCTATTTATCGACGCTAGATTGTTTTTTTCTGTTTACTAACAACAACAAAAACGATTTTTAATAACTGTTGGATTTTGTTATTTTCTAGTGCTTATTATTTCGCAGTAATTTAAAAAAAAAATCAAGCAGGGGATATTTACAACAGACTACGACGACTCAATTTGTGCACGGGAACAGGTTTCCCAAGTGTTTATCTACTAGCTACTACAGTCGTCAGTACGAGCATTACATGGTATGCGAGTCGTGCACCGCCACTAGAGAGCATTCGACCGTCCCTTTGCACAACACAGCTCGTGCCGAGCTGCTACAGTTGCGAGGAAGACACGCACGGCAATAGAACACCCCTGGTGACATCGGTAGTATCAGGCAGACTGAAGAACTGAGAACAACATCCTCGCACCGACTCGATAAAGAAGAAGAAGAAGAGCGATATCAAACAGGAGGAACTTGCGCGCTTGCGCCGAGATTTGAACTTTTATTGAAGTCTGCGCGAGAGAAACCGGGAGAGCGCTACTTGTCCGTATACCTCGTGCCACCTGCTTTCGTGTGAGCAAGGGTGGCACTGTTATTATAATCATCAGCAGCAGCAGCAGCGGCAAGCGATGGGCATCAGCAACAAGCAGCAAGAACGTGCCACCAACATCATGTTCCCGCAGTACCTCGCGGTGCTCCTTCTAACCTGCATCGCCTTCCAAGGTAACAATCGTCACGAACATCATCCGGCAGCAGCAGCAGCATCGTCACATCATCCAGCGCAGCATCATTCTCGTTGTGATTCATTCAATCGGCAATGACACTGTCATCCAGCCCTCATCGGCATATCAATCATCATCGGTTGAAGCGTCCGTCAGCACCATCATATAATCCGTAGAAGTAGTAGCAGCAGGGTTCCAACATCATGCTTATCAGCAGCAGCATTCATTATAACCAGTCGTAGCGGTGTTAGTAATAAGTAGCAATAGCATTAGCAGCAATAGCTGACACCATGACTCGCATCATCAGCAGCGGTATGGGCAATCGTGATGATCAGCATTTATATATGACTGGCACACGTGGAATGAAACACGGTTATTCTTTACGAGTCCAAAAATGCAATGGTGCATCATCACTGTCGGTGGTAGCAACAGTCCCATCGCTGTCATCACAAGCACGACACAACACCCCACGCGCTGCAGTTCACTACACGCTGGCAAGAGCCTCAACGACACGCAAATCTTAGCATAGAGCACTGAGGCACAGTGCTGTTCACAAACATCTATTTGGGTCGACACAGCACAGGACTCGGTGGCCAGCACCACGTCCGACCGCCGGTGTCTCCCGCGTGCTAATGTTTACACACCGCACCAGGTACTCAGTTGAGGCCGAGTAGACCTAGGGGGGGGGGGGGGATGGTGGAGGAGGCCCAGAACTGGTTCAGATATTCGCTATTGTTATTGGTCTTCAGAGCTGGAATCTCACTCGGCTCGCAGGCTTTGTAGCGCAGTGCGCTAACCGCTGCGCCACCCCTCCGCACGAGTAAGATCACCATCACGAGCATCAGCGAGCTCACTTATGTGCACCTATTAATCATCATCCGTCAGAATCAACACGATCGATCATTCGGTCAATCAATGCCAACGTTGCATGCCGTGTTCTCTCCGCTGCTGAACAAATGACTTTCTCACTTCGGCCTATCCGCCTCCGACCTCGTCAACGTACTGCAAACAATACCTTGCACATTGTACACTGTACGTGTGATAATTATTACAATAACTAAATAGCGAAAAATTATATACATATTTAATATACGTGTACGTGTTGGAGACCCAATTGAACTAACACCTACAGTAAGCTCCCACCACAATCGTGGCTGTGATGACTGCGCAACGTATTAAACAATGTGCTGTCAATTGCACTTAGTGCAGTCTTGTAAATACGAGCATAGCACGTGTGATATATAACCAGTATTGCATCGACTAGAGTTTTACATTGTATCGCATTGTATCAGCCACAATTGCACGCACGAATGTGTTATGGCACAGTCACTGGACTGTGCCATATTGCCGTGGTTACATCGGCGGAGCTCCGTTCGTGAATCCAGGGGATTGGATGGATGGAGAGGGTTCTTCAAAGAGGGGAAATCTTGTGTAACATTCACGAATTCATTGGCTGCGTGCGAGGGAGCCAGCCTACTGTGAAATGTGTGATACGCGTTCCTTTAGCGCCCTCTCAAGGGCAGATGCCCCCACCTGTACGCAAGCGGATGCAGGCAGAACTAAGTCCCCTCTCGACACAGCTATACAAAATGTGTGTATGTTGAACTTACTGTCGCGCCCTACGTAGCTAACCGTGCTACTCGGAGGCGCGGAGTTAAGGGCCAATAGACTAAACACAAAAAGTGGTTCTGAAGAAATTAGGGGGAGGGGGGGGTTCAATCTCGATTTAAAAGTACACAGCTCCAGTCGCCTCGCAAACATCGGAAGGAGGAGCGTTCCAGACGGCCGCTGAACGCGCGCATCTGAACGCGCGCGATGCAGGGAAGGATCGTCTTTGGTTCGACGCCTCTTTTCGGCCATCAGTGACCGGTCTATTGGCATTCCAGACCGTGTATTATTATTATCATCAAGCAGCAAGCGTTCGCTTTAATACGCAATATTCTGAACGGGGCCCCCAACCTCATGGGGCTCAGCAGTAAGTGACAATTGTTGAACCAATGCTTCCTGCTTGTGAAGATGCTCGTGCCAGGGGACAGCAACCCGCGGCTCTATAAGATCTTTAAGGACTTTGTTGCGTCACGTTATTTATGAAGGGCCCTCCCGTACTCACATTCATTGAAATATCTTTAAATATTGAGACGGGTGTTTTTTTTTTAAGTTTATTACAAATTCCAGGGAGAAAAAAATACGTCTCCTGTTATTTTGGGTAGCTTGTTAATTTGGCTACGGATGTTCCCGTTCAATGCGAAACAAAAAATGCAATACCGTACGCACTGGATGGGGAGATACGTGGTGGACGTTTACGAATTCAGACATTTATCCTCAGCCCCGGCAAGAATATCGTAGCGCGCTTAATGAATGAGATGCGGCCCTCGCCTTATTTTATTTATTTATTTTGCAACGGACGCATTCGATATGCCAAACGATCTCAATCACAATTATGGTGTAGTCACGGTTAGGGTGTGGTCACGGTTAGGGTGTAGTCACGGTTATGGTGTAGTCACGGTTAGCGTGTAGTCACGGTTGTGGTGTAGTCACAGTTGTGGTGTGGTCACGGTTAGGGTGTACTCACGGTTAGGGTGTGGTCACGGTTGTGGTGTAGTCACGGTTATGGTGTGGTCACGGTTAGGGTGTAGTCACAGTTGTGGTGTAGTCACGGCTGTGGTGTAGTCACGGTTAGGGAGTGGTCACGGTTGTGGTGTAGTCACGGTTATGGTGTAGTTACAGTTAGGGTGTAGTCACGGTTGTGGTGTGGTCACGGTTATGGTGTAGTCACAGTTATGGTGTAGTCACGGTTAGGGTGTAGTCACGGTTAGGGTGTAGTCACAATTAGGGTGTAGTCACGGTTAGGGTGTGGTCACGGTTAGGGTGTGGTCACGGTTAGGGTGTAGTCGCAGTTAGGGTGTAGTCACGGTTAGGGTGTAGTCACAGTTAGGGTGAAGTCACGGTTAGGGTGTAGTCACGGTTAGGGTGTAGTCACGGTTATTGTGTAGTCACGGTAGGGTGTGGTCACGGTTAGGGTGTAGTCACAGTTAGGGTGTAGTCACGGTTATGGTGTAGTCACGGTTGTGGTGTAGTCACGGTTGTGGTGTAGTCACGGTTGTGGTGTAGTCACGGTTAGGGTGTAGTCACGGTTAGGGTGTAGTGACAGTTATGGTGTAGTCACAGTTAGGGTGTAGTCACAGTTATGGTGTAGTCACGGTTAGGGTGTAGTCACGGTTATGGTGTAGTCACGGTTAGGGTGTAGTCACGGTTAGCGTGTGGTCACGGTTAGGGTGTAGTCACAGTTAGGGTGTAGTCACAGTTAGGGTGTGGTCACGGTTAGGGTGTAGTCACAGTTAGGGTGTAGTCACAGTTGTGGTGTAGTCACAGTTGTGGTGTAGTCACGGTTATGGTGTAGACACGGTTCTGGTGTAGTCACAGTTATGGTGTAGTCACGGTTAGGGTGTTGTCACGGTTAGGGTGTAGTCACGGTTAGGGTGTAGTCACGGTTAGGGTGTAGTCACAGTTAGGGTGTGGTCACGGTTAGGGTGTAGTCACAGTTAGGGTGTAGTCACAGTTGTGGTGTAGTCACAGTTGTGGTGTAGTCACGGTTATGGTGTAGACACGGTTATGGTGTAGTCGCAGTTATGGTGTAGTCACGGTTGTGGTGTAGTCACGGTTGTGGTGTAGTCACGGTTAGGGTGTAGTCACGGTTGTGGTGTAGTCACGGTTGTGGTGTAGTCACGGTTGTGGTGTAGTCACGGTTAGGGTGTAGTCACGGTTAGGGTGTAGTGACAGTTATGGTGTAGTCACAGTTAGGGTGTAGTCACAGTTATGGTGTAGTCACGGTTAGGGTGTAGTCACGGTTATGGTGTAGTCACGGTTAGGGTGTAGTCACGGTTAGCGTGTGGTCACGGTTAGGGTGTAGTCACAGTTAGGGTGTAGTCACAGTTAGGGTGTGGTCACGGTTAGGGTGTAGTCACAGTTAGGGTGTAGTCACAGTTGTGGTGTAGTCACAGTTGTGGTGTAGTCACGGTTATGGTGTAGACACGGTTCTGGTGTAGTCACAGTTATGGTGTAGTCACGGTTAGGGTGTTGTCACGGTTAGGGTGTAGTCACGGTTAGGGTGTAGTCACGGTTAGGGTGTAGTCACAGTTAGGGTGTGGTCACGGTTAGGGTGTAGTCACAGTTAGGGTGTAGTCACAGTTGTGGTGTAGTCACAGTTGTGGTGTAGTCACGGTTATGGTGTAGACACGGTTATGGTGTAGTCGCAGTTATGGTGTAGTCACGGTTGTGGTGTAGTCACGGTTGTGGTGTAGTCACGGTTAGGGTGTAGTCACAGTTAGGGTGTAGTCACAGTTATGGTGTGGTCACGGTTATGACGTCGTCGCAGTGGTTTGCTGCTCAAATGAGCATCGAGGCAGTGTTCATCTCGAGGTCACAGCCCTGAGCTGGTGGTGGAAATTCCCCATTTCTATGACGGGGCGGGGAGGGCGAGTCTATCCATAGCACGACCATTATTGACCCTCCCCCACGAAGTGGTCGTCGTTGTATCGATCTACCCCCCCCCCTCTCCCAAACGGATAATGGGCTGAGTCAACCCCCAACCAGGATTTGAACTCGCAACATGCTGATTGCGAGCCACTCGATCTCCCACTGAGCCACCTGTTGCTATGGAGTGCATTTGCAGTTTTGCACACCAACGTGGGTTTTTTTTTTGTATTCTCAAGAGGAGATAAAAAAACATGATGTGTTGCTTATGGGGCACCCACACTATTTTCATCATAATAGAGACAGCGATTTTGTATTCGGCTTGAAAATGAGTTCCCAATTACATTTGTATTGTCTGCGGCAAACTCAACTTCCACTGGAAGACATCCCACTTGCCTATGCAGCGGCACTCAAGCACAAACGAGAGAGAGTTCTTAAATATGCCGGCTTGTACAATAATGAATAGGTTGAGGTGATGCCCTGCCATTTCTTGCTCACGCCACTGCTGGCAGTAACAGCCTCCAGTCA